ATGGAGGTTTTGTTTCAAGGGGCCGCGGCATTCTAAGGGGTTTGAGGATTGATGTAGACACTTGGGAAGGGATACCTGTTTCTTCTTCCTTGATACACAGGCCTCGTATAGATCAGCCTGAAAATGTATTATTTAAAAAGTTGGAGGGAGATTGTAATTAAATATAAAATAATTACCTAAATATGTATTTTGAGTGTTTTGAAAGGGGCTTGAAAGCATTTATTATCATCGAAACCAAGGGAAAATTAAGCAGGATTTTATTTTTAGTTACACCTGCTGGTAGATGTAAGAGGTGGTTCTGTCTAATGAGAACTATTGAAACAAATTGGTTCAAGAACGCTTCATGGGAAATTGAACAGTGCAGAATTCACATTGTCTCGAGGTCCTACTTGGGCCTGTTGAGAAGGGTTTATGGAAATGAAGGGGTTCTTTTTATTGGAAATGGAAACATTTCATTTACTTTATAATATTTAACCACCCTTCCCCTGCTCCTTAGATTACAATTTCAGAGCCCCTGGTTACAAATCGAGATTTTTTTCCCCTCAGATTGCTGCCTTTAGCCCCTAAGTGAACTCCACTGGCAGCTCTGTGGGTATTTTTCAGAAGAAGCCTTCTGTTCTGATTGTATTAAATGCCACTGGTACCTTTGCCATTCTCTGCTCCCTGCTCCCTGAACATTCCAATAACAGAGCCTTCCCGTCCCATTTAGAAATGTTCACAGGGACCTCAGAACTTAATTTGTCTTCCTAGTGCGAGGAAACACTAGACTTGTGCTCAGATGTAGTAAATGATGGGGTTTTCCCCAATTAATCATCTGCCAGATCGTGCATCTGTTATTTTGTAAAATCTTAATTTATGTTCAAAAATAAAAGAAAAAAATAAAACAAGACTATAGTATGCCGTTCAGCGTTTTGCAAGCTGTTTGCTTTTATTCACCTAACTCAATAATATACAGAGCTTGCATTTTTAACTTTGATTCCAAAGTTAGCTTTTTTGTAGGATTTGATCAATATTCCATTTTCCTGACCTAAGTGAATAAAAATAAATGGCTTGCGACATATACAGGTTTAGATCTTGATTTTGTTTTGGTAGTTAGAGAAGCTGTCATAAAAATGTAGCCTGAAATGACTATAAATTCCATAACTAGTTTAATTAGTTTTGTCGTAATTTTATTTAGTTTTTTTTAAAGTAGGCAATACATCACATAGTTTAAAAATCAGAAGGTACAGAAAGATGCTTGGCGAAAAGTCCCTCTTTTAGCCTGTACACTTGGCCGCTCATTTCAACACTACTCAAGCAACCAACGTTAATCCTGATTCATTTAAATTGATGTACTAAGATATATTTAGCAAAAACTTATTTTCTTTTGATGTTTTATTGCATGACATAAAGGAACTGAGCACGAGTTTGGGACCATGGGGGGCAAATAACTACATAAATATCCAGGGAGATACCTTAGATGAAAATGCACTACGGGTGACAAAATATGGAGCCAAAAGCAGAATTCCATTTTTTATTGTAAAGAAAAGCGCTGAAAGTGAGATCTCACTATAAAACCATAAGTCTCCCCACATACTCACTTGGACTTCTCTGTTTCTGGGTTTCCAGAACAGACTGTTCTCTTCTGACTGTTGCATATGTATTGAATCTTGGCACCGTGAATCTCTTGTGATGCGAGATTGAATTTCCCATTGCCATTTTTTCAGATAACAGCCCGCCGTCAGTGGAAACACATTTACGATGAATTAGGCGGTAATCCTGGGAGCACCAGCGCTGCCACTTGTACCCGCAGACATTATGAAAGGTAAAACAAAATGAAATAAAACAAAAACCTTTTCTGGAAAGTCCTTGCTTAATTGAAAGTGTGTTAATTGGAAGAAGCTTCTGGTCAAGGATAGAGACCAAAGGAAGTCTAAAGGACCTTTTAGGAAACAGAAAATATCCCTCTGGCATTTTACTTTGCATCCAGCCTTGTGATTTTTAGGGAACGTGGCTTTCTCTAGTTACCGGAGCTAAAATTAGATAGTCTTTTAATTTGCTTTTATCCTGTGACCACCTGCCTGACAATACCATTTTTTTTCCCCACAAGCATAAGATTATTCAATATGTTCACTGTGGGTTCATTTACTATGAGAACTTTCAGATTCTGAAAACATAGGTCTGCAGTATCACTGTAAAGTTACCATGTAACTGTACTAACATTGAAATACATTAATGTTGACAGTATTAACATTGCAAAGTAAGCATTTCTTTAATAAGAAGATTGGCCCCCAGATAAGGTTTGTTGTTTTTTCCCATCTTGGTATTTTTCTCCTATGGCTATGCTTTTGACCGAGGAAATCCTTTCTTGCCAAGCTCTGTGTGGTTTAGTTTTCTAACAAATTCAGCTTCTTTCAGAAGGTGATGATAATGCAGACAAGAAGTAATGCCAAATTAGACTACTATGAGGGTTGTTGCCACAGGAATATTTCCTGTTTGCATTAGGACTGTTACCCACAACACCGAAGACCAGTTAGCAAAGTCATGCATTATCCTTGCTCAGCACGTCAAGCCCAAACTTAATTTGTTCAGGCCTCGCCAACTTCCTTATCAATGGCATTTGCCTTCTGAAGTGTTGACCAACTCAGCTCCCCGGTTTCAAATTCAAGCTTTGAGATCCAAGCAGAGGAGTGTGTGTGTGTGTGTGTGTGCGTGTGTGTGTTTTAATAACAGCCATGGATGGAATGAAGCAAGACACAGTCAACTGAACAAACAGGCCACTTACGTTGTTAGTTTGAAAGCTAAAACACAACATAAATTGATGGTTGCTCTTCACATAGTTACCATTCCAGCTTCAACCCAGAAGCATAACACCTGCCTTTGGATCATACAAATGCATCTTCAGATAATGTCATCTAACTCTTAGTCATATTTCTTTTGAATTCAACTATATTTTTATCTGTATTGCATTTAACATAGAGCCACTTTTAGTATAGCCTATTCAATGAAATGTGGAATGTTTTTGTAGGTATAATTATAGTAAACTGAGTTGGGTTTAGTACCTCATGAAAAATTCCCACAAAGCATTCCCAAGAGATTGCCTTACTTGAGAGTGTTATAATCCGGAAGGATTTTGAAAAATTGGTAATAGGAATTCAAATTATTACTCTTCATAGCATTGTTGCCAACATAGTATATCATTTTCTTAAGTGAGAGTGTTACCGCTCTCAGTATTTAATACAAAAGCCCACATTCTCACACTGTACATAACAGGTGTACTACAGAAGTCTTAGTACAAAATAGCCTGGTATCTCAGGCAAGTGTTTTGTAAATAGCGTTCTAGGTACCATAATCAACTTGTTTTTGACCTATGATTCAAGGTTTTAATCAGAACATTTTCATTAGAAACACTGTACTTTCAAATAGCTTCTATTCTGACGGTGAGCCTCTTACCTCCATGTACAAATGTTCCCAACACCTGACCATCAAACTTAAAGGACCAGATAGCAATTAAAATTAGAAAAAGAAGTTATCTCAGCTATTAGCTAGCTCACTCAATTAAGGAATGAAATATTAATCAAACATATTATAAAGCATTACATGGTCAAAAAAACAAATAGATAAGGATGAGATGGGAAAAAGATTGGATCTATTGTGTGTGTGTGTGTGTGTGTGAATGTTACATTTACTCAAGCAGTTGTGCACATTAAAAAAAACGCCCAATCTTAAATGAAATATCAAGATATATTCTTTTGAAGATTGTGTACTTTGTGTCATGATTTACCTCTTCCTGGAGTAGCAGAATCCTAAGTGCCTTTGATTAGTCGAATTGAAAAATTCTAGTAGAGATACCTCAAACTTTAGCAACTAAGAAACATTATTAAAGATTTTTTTTTTAATTTCTCTTCTCTCATTCTTAGGAGTAGAATGGATATTTCACAAAGGTTTGGTTTCCCATTGGATTAAATTTTTTAAAAAGCTATGTCTTTGAATTTGAATTACGAATTTGTTTGGTCAGCGTGTATCAGTCAGAATCCAGTAAAGAAAACAGAAACCACCCTAGGTATTCAACAAAGAGAACTAATTATTGGAGTTGCTTAAACAAGTGTTGGTGTGAAGCACTACATCACTCTGGAGGTAATAACCACAGTTTTCCCAGGGCTGGAAGGATAGAGAAAAGAGGTTAGGGTATTGCCACTCAGAAGTTCAGAGAGTGGGCCCCACAGAGCTAGGGTTCAGACCCCCTCCCAGGGAAAGGCACCCAGCCCATGCTGGTATTCCAGGAGCTCAGAGGAGGAGCCTTGTGGAGCTGGGCTCAGACCTAGGAGGCAGTGCTCCCTGGTGCTAGACCTCAGAGGAAATGCATCAAAACTGTTCTGGGATTATTGAAAGAAGCTAGAGGCTGGAACCAACTACTGCTGCAAAGTTACTGTTGGGTTGGCACTGAAATGAACAGCAAGCAAAATAGAAAAAAAGAGGTCCCTTCTGCCCTCCCTGGCCTGGTAGGGCCCCATTTGCAGGACCTCAACAGTAAAAGGGGCTGACAAAAAAGAGACATGTAATTTGCAGGGACCCAGTCCCAGCGTTGCCAAATGGAGCACAGAAGGTGGATTTGGAGTCGAGAGACAATAATCCAGCTGCCAAGTGGGACCCCAAACATGGAAACCCCTGTGCAGAGCCTGAAGCCCAGGTTAGAGCACAGCTGTCCCCAGGTGATTAGAAAGGTCCTCAACCCTTCCTTGGCATTTCTTTTTGCCAGTTAGGCCCCTCTAATGTTGTTATGATCAGATACAGGGATATCCTGAATAGTTAGTAATTAATAAGGGTTAAGTGCCAAATTTTCCAGATGATTGTTGTGTTTTTGTTTTTGTTTTTTTAGAAAATCAGACTCACAATAACGCCACTCTCACTCATTTGAACCTTTCAGGATTTCAAAGGAGTCACCCAAACTCCTGTGAGCTGTGGTGGTAGAAAAGTCTAGGAACTACTTCCCTAGATGCCTTACTTTAATGATTCTGCCAGAGAGAAGGGCAGAGGACACTCTGATCTGTCCAGGGACTTGAAAGAGCTCTGCTTTGATCAAGACACCATGGCTAAAACTATACTTAGCGATTATGGTAGATTTCATTCATTCTTGCTAGTTCTAGGCTGTGCTAACACCATAAAAACAGATGACTAGATTGGTGAAGGGCCACCGTTTTCAAGAAGGTTCAAGGAGTTGGAAGGGGTCAGGGTGTTGTGGCAAACATCCCATCTGGAGAAGTGCTTGGAATTATTTAAAGCCTTCCAAACACGATCAGAGCCTTTGGAGCTCCACCCCTGCTGCTGGTTCATCTGGTCTCTCACTCTTTTCACTCTAGTATAGAAACTTGGTCCTTTTCCTACTTCCCTACCACCAGCTTTGCTTCCCTAGAAAACGAAGAAGAAATGAGTGATCTGCTATGCATTATCCACTGATTTATTTTTCATGCAGTGTGGTTCATGTTTCCCGTAAATGTTTTCATTTTCCAAAAGAAAAAAATAGCCAGTTCCTCAGTAAATGTTACTTGTATATTAGTTGTGCACTTTGGGTTTATTAATGAGTGTAATAATGAAAGTGTGGGTTGTTAAAAAGAATCAATGGGTGTTTTTATTTAAGGCATAGCAGAAATGGTACAATGCCTGTGAATGCATCATTGTCGCTGAAGGCCTGACTCGTCTAAACTTGCCTCTGATTGGTTTAAATCAAATAGGTCCAAGCACTTCATAAAAATGTCTTTGTCAGCCTGGTTTTGCTTCCAAACCTATTCATCTCTGTCAGTTTTTAATATTAGTACCAGGCTCCTGGCCATAGTCCATTAGTACTGTACTTAATTGCTCATGTTACAGATGATCACCAATATAAAAAGCATTAATGTTTCCCCATCGCGAGACTGTTGCTATGTAGATGTCTCAAACTTAGAAAAGCTTATGAAGTGTGGTTATTCTGGACATTTCTTGCTCAGGATTTATAGATAATGTTACTGTAGATTATAATGCAAAGACAAATGCCCGCCGCCTCCTGGGTAAGACCCTTCTAAGTGGAATATTTTCTTTCTTGTCCATCTCCTTATTTAAGGTGCCCCAAACTGCTTTCTTTTATCAATAAAGGAACGAAAAGGAAAATTGAAACTTTTATGGAATTTCCTTAGTTCGATTTTTCTGGAATAGTAATTCACTTTAAAGGCTTTGTTTTCACATGCATATTTGTTTTCTTTTTAAATGTTTTTAAGCACATGCAGGGAGAAAAAATCCTTACACAGAATACCAGATTACTGGTTTTGATTTTCCTGAATAAATTACATGGTCTGTTTCTGTGGAACACATGAAGTTGTTATTAGGGATTGAAAAGGGAGCATTAAGGCAAATGTACTTTATGATGTGCTTTCCTGAGTATTTAGAAAATCAAAATTTTAAACAAATGTATTTGTTTGTGGGGGAAATGAGCAATTACGCTGCATCTTCTTGAAGACTCCATGCCCAATTTCAGGTTCTAACCTTTTGATTTTCCTGTAAGCATTCCTCGGGCAAGACTGTCATGCCGCCTGGCTGAGACGGCTTCCTTTGCAGTGACTTGGGGTGAGCTGTACCCAAGCCAGATGCATTTGGGCAGAACCCGAATGACAGTCAGCTGGAGCTTCGGCCTTTTTTCTCTGAAGGTGGAAGGCAGGGTGTGGGAGGTTCATGTTTTAAGTAAGATAAGTGTGCGCTTAAAGGTAAATGCCAAAAATATATCAGGTTCTAAGGAACTCAGCTAATTATATTGTGGGAAAAGGCCAAGGGAAATTAAGGTGCATTACAGTCCTG